AGTGAAATATTTTCACATTTCTTTGCTTTCATGTTATTAATTTCTCCATGTAGAGATCTGATTAAAATATGTAATGTAGCAGAAGGAGATAAGATGAAAATTCTGATTTTGGCATTGGATGTGCTTTAAGCTGCAAGAAGGTCCTTTGGTTCCTTGACTTTATCTGGAGTGGGAGACTTTTTCAGACTGTGGAATGTTTGCATTGGAAGGGATCTCAGGGGTCAGAGTGCACCTCCTAATATGCAGAGATTGGCTTTAGAGATGCACATGGTTTCAAATGGCCAATTTTTGACCGTCAGTAGGACAAAGTGGATTCAATGGGAAGTGTTTCTTCCACTGGACAGAACTACTTTTCCTTCAACCTAGTTTTGAAATCGCTTCCTATTTCAAACTTTATAACCTCTACTGCCCAACACGTTTAGCAGTGTCAAGAAATATAAAAAGCCCTCTTTTTTCTCATACTACATCGTCTAAGAAAAAAGTTTATTTTTTATTCATTGATTGTTTGTTTGTTTTACAAACAAAACATTTATCATAAGTAGTTCCTAGAAAATCAGTCTACTGGCTGGGTGCTATGGCTCACGCCTGTTATCCCAGCACTTTGGGAGGCCGAGGTGGGCAGATCACTTGAGGTCAATAGTTTGAGACCCACCTAACCAACATGGCAAAACCCCATCTCTACTAAAAATACAAAAAATTAGCCAGGCGTGGTGGCATGTGCCTGTAATCCCAACTACTCAGGAGGCTGAGGCAGGAGAACCACTTGAACCCAGGAGGTGGAGGTAGCAGTGAGCTAAGATCGCACCTTTGCACTCCTGTCTGGGTAACAGACCCATGCTCCATCTCAAAAAAAGAAAGAAGAGAAAGAAAGAAAATCAGTCCACTGTTTTGTGAATTTCTAAATTAGAACGCTGAAGTCAACTTTGTAGAAGTGAGTTGCTGTGGAAAAAGGAAGGAAATTCTGACACACCACGACCCGGACGAGCCTTAAGGACATTATGCTGAGTGAAATAAGCCAGTCGCAGAGACAAATACTCTATAATTGCACTTAAATGAGGTATAAGCGTCATCAAGTTCATAGACAACATACAGTGGTGGTTTCCAGGAACTGGGGGCAGAGGGGAATGGGGATTTGGTGTTTAATGTGGACAGAGTTTCAGTTTGGGAAGGTGCAGTTCTAGAGATGGTTAGTGGTGATGATTACATAACAACGTGAGTGTGCTTAACACCGCAGAATTGTATGCTTAAAAGTGGTTAAGATGCTAAATTTCAGGTGGCTGGGTGTGGTGGCTCACACCTGTAATCCCAGCACTTTGGGAGGCGGAGGCTGGCAGACCACCTGAGGTCAGGAGTTCGAGACCAGCTTGGCCAACATGGCGAGACCCTATCTCTACTAAAAATACGAAAATTAGCCAGGCCTGGTGGCAGGTGCCTGTAATTTTAGCTACTTGCGAGACTGAGGCAGGAGAATCACTTGAACCCAGGAGGTGCAGGTTGCAGTGAGCCGAGATCACGCCACTGCACTCTAACTTGGGTGACAGAGTGAGACTCTGTCTCAAGAAAAGAAAAAAAGATTCTAAATTTCATGTTATATGTATTTTACCAAAATTTGAAAAGAATGAATTACGGTGGCTGGAATGAACTACTGCTCTGTGGAAATAGTGCAGTAGCGGATTCCGGGTAACCCAACCCAGTCTGCCCTCTGATGAGAATCGGAGTCTCCTGGAAATGCTCATTTTCCTTCTTTGGGGCGGGCAGTTCTTCCTCCTGGCCTGGCTAGGGTACTTCCTCCCATCCCTGCGGAAACATCTCCTTTCCGGTTTCTTCCTCCATCCTCTTGGCTCTGTTCCAGTCAATACTGTGTTCCCCAAGACACGAATGGAGCAAGAAGAGCTGGCTGCAGGCCTCTGGGGGCAGTCAATGACTAGAACGAGAGGGATTTAGTAGAAAGTTGGCTTTCCCTCTCCGGAGAAATCCCGTTAAGTGAGGGTCCCCAGGGGGCACCAGGTTTTGGTTCTGTGCAGTTTTAGTAGCCTGTGTCAAAATAAAACCCAGGTCAGTGCCATAAACACGAGGACGGCAAGGAGTCTTGCCTTGTGGAGCAGCTGGAGAGATGGTCCCCTGGGATGATTCCCTCCGGGACACGCGGGTATTTTCAGGGAAGATTCCGTTCATAGGTCTGGAATGGATGTGGGGGGAGAGAGAAACAGGTTGATGGGGGTTAGGGATCGAGATGTGAACAGAGGCGTGCCTGCTGCTGATTACTCAACAGTCTCATGTATCCCCAGCGCAGCCCTGTCGGGTAGAATGTTGTGCGATGATGGGGATGTTCTCGCTGCCCAACACTGCGGGCGCGACCACTGCCACTTGTGCTGTTAAGTCTGTGAAATACGCCTAGTGTGACTGAGGAATGAAATGTTCAATCTTAATTGGTTTAAGTGTTAAGAGCCACATACAGCCAATGGCTGCCTTATTGGACAGCACAGCCCTAGGTCAGCTCTGGTGTGATTCTCGTCCAGATCATTACAGCCTAAGGATCCTGGAGCTTGACTTGGTTCTGGAAAGACTCGGGAATTCACACCTGCTTTGATTAGACCTGAGGATGACTCTGGGTTTACAGTATGGACACTGGACTCCCTAAAACCTGCTAGCACAAGATGACTGGTCATTAATTGTCTGATTAATTAATTATTGATTTAATGTTTTGTGGGGTTTTTTTTTTGCCACAGTTTTACTCTGTTGCCCAGGCTGGGGTGCTGTGGTGCCACCTTGGCTCACTGCAACCTCCAGCTCCCAGTTTCAAGCCATTCTCATGCCACAGCCTCCTGAGTAGCTGGGACTACAGGTGCACACAACCACACACGGCTAATTTTTTTTTTTTTTTTTTTTTTTTTGTATTTTTAGTAGAGATGGTGTTTCACCATGTTGACCAGGCTGGCCTCAAACTCCTGACCTCAAGTGATCCGCTGGCCTCAGCTTCACAACGTGCTGGGATTACGGGTGTGAGCCACCATGGCTGGCCTAAAAACGGGGATGTTTTTTAAGAAAGGATGATGGAATGTTATACAGCACTAAAAAGAAATGAATCATGAAGCCATGGAAAGACAAGGAGGAAATTTAAATACATGTTAGTAAGTGAAAGAAGCTGATCAGAAAAGGCTACAGATAGCCAGGTGCAGTGGCTCACACCTATAATCCCAACACTTTAGGAGGCTGAGGTGGGAGGATTACTGGATCTCAGGAGTTCGAGACCAGCCTGGGCAACAGGGTGAGACCCTGTCTTTACAAAAAATAGAAACAAAAATTAGCCAGGCATGATGGTGCATGCCTCTTGTCCCAGCTCTTCAGAAGGCTGAGGCTGGAGGATTGCTTGAGCATGGGAGGTCAAGGCTGCAGTAAGCTGTGATTGCACCACTGCACTCCAGCCTGGGCAAGACGGCAAGACCCTGTAGAACAAACAAAGAAGAAAAGGCTACATACTGTATGATTCCAACTATATGACATTCTGGAAATAGCAAAGCTATGGAGATAGTAAAAAGCTGAGGGGTGAATAGGTGGGGCACAGAGGATTTTTAGGGCAGTGAAATGCCCTGTACGATACTCTAATGGTGGATCCATGTTATTATATATTTGTCCAGATCTACAGAATGGACAGCACCATGAGTGAACCCTGAGGTGAGCTACGGACTCGGTGTCGATGGTGTGTCACTGGAGGTTGGGTTCATCAGTTGTAACAAATGCACCACTCTGAGGGGGACATTGATAGGGAGGCTGTACGTGATGGAGGGAAGTATATGAGAAATCGATGTACCTCTTCTCAATTTGTCTGTAAATCTAAAACTGCTCTTAAAAGTTTGGCTGGGCACCGTGGCTCATGCCTGTAATCCCAGCACTTTGGGAGGCTGAGGCAGGCACATCACCTGTAGTCAGGAGTTCAAGACCAGCCTGGCCAACATGGTGAAACCCCATCTCTACTAAAAATACAAAAAAATACAAAAAAAAAAAAAAAAGAAAAGAAAAGCTTGGCGTGGTTGTGGGTGCCTGTAATCTCAGCTACTCAAGAGGCTGAGACAGGAGAATCGCTTGAGCCCAGGAGGCAGAGGTTGCAGTGAACCAAGACTGCACCACTGCACTCCAGCCTGGGTGACAGAGGGAGACTCCGTCTACCCCCTGCCCCCCAAAAAAGAAAATTCAGTGTATTAATTCGATAGATTTATTTTTTGAGGTAGGGTCTCTGTCGCCCAGGCTGGAGTGCAATGGGTGTGATCATGGCTCACTGCAGTCTCAACTTCAAGGGCTCACATGATCCTCCTGCCTCAGCCTCCCAAGTAGCTGGGATAAGAGGTGTGCGTCACCATGCATAGCTAACTTTTAAGATTTTTAGTAGAGATGAGGTTTTGCTGTGTTGCCCAGGCTGGTCTTGAACTCCTGAGCTCAGTGATCCTCACTCCTTGGCCTCCCAGAGTGCTAGGAATACAGGCATGAGCCACTGTGCCCAGCCTGGTATATTACTTTTTTTAAATGGGATGTTATAGTGAACAAAACCAACAAGAATTCTATCCTCAAGGCGCTTACAGTCTGGCAGGGAAGACAAACACAGAGTGAGCAAACACAAGTGTGAACTGAGGTGTGTTAGGAAGGAGGTCTCAACTTGAGTCAGTAGAAGCAGTCTTTGTGGGGGTGACGTCAAGTGGAGGTACTCTCATTTTATCACATTTTAACAGGGACACTTCCAGTCATATGGTCCCTGGACACTGACACAACTTTTCCAGGCCTTTTTTTTTGATACCTTCCTTCTCATTAGAATCTCCTGGGCCAGTCCAGTGTCTTGACACAGTGGCTGAACCCATAAAAATGGGAAACCCTTGTTTCACCTCCAAAAAGGGTTTTAGAGGAAGAGGCGGGGGAAAGGAGACTTGGCTGGAATGGGGGAGAGTTCACAGGGGTGAGGCGACAGGGCAACAGGCCCAGGGTTACAGCCCCAAGGACCGCCCCCGCCCATGCCCGAGGCAGCTGTGGACGGGGCTCTCCAGAGGGCTGGGGAACTATCACAGTCACAGCCGAGGCTGGGAAGGGAGCCAGGGCTGCAGCTCCTGCTCCGCTCTGCAGTCCACCCCTCTAGCGCCGCCCAGCCCCGCTGCCTTAACTGTTCCTCTGGCTGCGGGTCCCTCGGCTTGGCCACCCCCACGCTGCAGTTAGTTGACTGATTCTGGATCCAGTGAGCATCTCCCGTGTGCTCGCAGCCCAGGGGCCCCTGGGGATGCTTGGGCCGCCTGCCTCTGTCATGTCCCCTGCCTGGTCCTCTGGCTCCTAGGCCTAATACGAGGGTGGCTGATTCCCTGGAGGGAGGAAATGGAGCCTGGATCTGGGGCTTCTCCACTCTGGCTGCATTTGACAACGACTTGGGGACTTTTAGAAAGGTACGAGCACCCTCCACCAATTAAGGCACAATTTTCCTGAAAATTTCTTGGCATTTTCTAAGCTCACTGGCTATTTTCCTGCAGTGCCTTAGGTGATGAAGAGGCTGACCCAGAATCCTCCTTGGTTGCTCCCCATCCTCTAGGGAACCTTCTAGCTGGCTACTGCCTTAGTGGGAACCCCTTTCTGCTGGGAAAATCCCAGTAGGGATTTGGGATTGGACAACCCTTTCATCTCCCCCTCCCCCTGAGCTCCCTCCCAACTGAGCCTGAGGGCTGACTAGCGCGCCCAAGGCCACCTCTGAGATCCAGCCTCGTCATCACCATGCGACATCCCTAGGGAGCTTTCCCACCGCGGGAGGTGGCTGCTGACGGGTTCCAGCTGTTGGTGCCAGCCGGGAAGGCCTCTTCCCCACGCTAGACTTGAAAACTTGTCAGGAGCGCCTCCACCTGAACTCCCTTGGCCAGAAACTACAGCAGGCAGATCAGACGCCGAGCAGGAGTGGGGAACATGTGTAGAGTGGGAGGGGCAGGGGCTCCAGGGAACTTTTCTGCATTAGGAGCTGGGGAGCTGGCCCCAAAATAAAACTGCCTTGAAAGAAAAGAACAAAGTGTGTTGGCACAGCAAGGCCTTTCTTCTGCTCTGGGGCGTGACGGAGGTCACAGCCCCCTGCTGGGCTGGACTGGGGGCCGTTCCTCTTCAGTGGGCACAGGAGTGTGCTCTGCCCGGCCTGGCTCGGCCTCCTCTGAGGGCGTTTCATGCAGGCCTGGGCCGTCATCTCCTGGCAGATGAACAAAACCCGAGAGCAAACACATTTCACATTCAGTCTGAATGCTCAGAGGAACCACGTTTTTCTGAGATTACACATTCTTCCGGCATTATGCTCTACTTAACGCAAAACAATCCAGTGCAATGATGCTTTCTTCCCTTTTTACATTTTCGAGGACCACACAGAGGACTCTTGCTAGGTGGTGGTGGAGACCAAGGGCTGGCGTGTCCCTGGCCACGGGTGGGATGCTCAGGAATGGGTTGGCGGAAGTGGGGGTTGCCTACCTTCTTACTCAGCCCTCAGGGCCTTCTGGAACATCTCCAGGTAGGAGTGCTTCCTCAAACGTAAGGCATCACCCGAGAGAAGGGCTGTTCGTGTGGGGTGCAGGGAGGACACTTGAGTTCAGCGGCCCTGCCCCTTCCAGGCTGTTTGAACTTGGACAAGTCACTTAACCCCATGAGCCTCTGTTTTCTCACTTGTGAAAAGGGGAAAATGTATAGTAGGGCCTTGGTGGAGGTGGACAAGAATGAGAGAAGGAAGAGCCTGGAAGGAAGGTCTTGTCCCCTCCTCATCCCCCCAACCCCCCGAGCAGCCCTTGTTTTTCCATTTTACTGTCAGGCTTCCTCTTCAGTTTTCCTTGGAAAAGGCTGTCTGGAGCTTTCTAACATCTGCATGCCTGGCCGCCACCCCAGACCCCTTAAATCGGAACCTCTGAGGGTGAGACCCAGGCATGGGTATTTTTTTCACAGTTTCCGGAGTGATTCTGATGGCTCAAGCTAAGAACCACTGCCCGAAAGACCAAGGCAAACAGGCCAGGCATGGTGGCTCATGCCTGTAATCCCAGCACTTGGAGGCTGAGTTTGGGGGATCACTTGAGGCCATGGGCTCGTGACCAACCTGGGCAACATAATGAGACTCTAACTCTTAATAAAATAAAAAATTGGCCAGGCACGGTGGCTCACACCTGTAATCCCAGCACTTTGGGGGGCCAAGGTGAGTGGATCACCTCAGGTCAGGAGTTCAAGACCAGTCCAGCCAACATGGTGAAACCTGTCTCTACTAAAAATACAAAAAATAGCTGGGCATGGTGGCAGGTGCCTGTAATCCCCACTACTTGGGAGGCTGAGTCAGGAGAATCACTTGAACTTGGGAGTCAGAGGTTGCAGTGAGCCGAGATCGCACCATTGCACTCCAGCCTGGGCAACAAGAGTGAAACTCCATCTCAAATACACAAATAAATAAAATTACCCAGGCATGGTGGCTGTAATCTCAGCATTTTGGGAGGCCGAGGTGGGAGGATTGCTTGAGCCCAGGAGTTTGAGGTTGCAGTGAACCATGATCGTACCACTGCATTCCAGCCTGGGCGACCAAGTGATACCTATCTCTACAAAACAAAAAACACAAGAAAAACCAAAGGAAACAGGGACTGTGGAAGGTGCTAGGAAGTCTAATGGGCTTGGTGGGTCCTGGCTGTCAGCAGGGCCCTCTTGGGATTCTGCAGGGTGCCTGGCCAGTCCCAGCGGGGTCGATCCTATACCCAGGGTGTAATTGTCAGGGTGTGGCCCTCGGGGAGGATGTCAAAGGTCCAGCACATGATTTGTGCTTTCCTTAGGGAGGTAACTTTGAAGTCCATGTGCCACAGGGCTGGTGCTTGGGAGGGAATAGATTTGCTGGGTAATCCCCCTGCTGCTGTTGTCCCGCCTCCCCCATGGGCAGCTCTCAGCAACCCTGAAAAAGTGACACTCAGCCTGTTGCTTTCTGGGAATTGGCTCAAGAAGAAGGCCAGCTGCTGGTGCTGGTGTAAGAAATGAAGAGGAGCTGAAGAGTTTCAAGAGAGATGATTTCCAAGGCAGGAAATCGCAATTGGGCTGAAGAAGGGAGGCCCCATCCTGTGTGGCTGTGGTTTTTGCCTGTGCTGTGAACAGGGGCAGCTGTGGGGGCTGAACTCCTGGTTCCATCCCTGGTGAGCCCAGGGCTGCGGGGCTGTCGAAGTCTGTTGTGGGCCCAGGCCCAGCCCTGAGTCTGGAGGACTTTCCAGCTCACTGCAAAGCTCTCTGTGTAATATCTCAGGGCATGAGGGAATGTGCACTGTCAATAGGACTTTTTGAGAGCTTCCAATCCTGCTTCCTGATTTCTGTCACTGACAGTATGAACCAGGGCATCTTTGTACAAAAGCGAACACAAATAGTGTGAGCTGCCACCTCCAAAAGCTGGGGGCCACCCCTGCTAGTATCAGGAAAGTGCAGCAGTAAACACACAGACATGATGGAGAGCAGGGAGCAGGGCGCCAGGAATGTTTCTTTCTTTTTCTTTTTTTTGAGACAGTCTCGCTCTGTCGCCCAGGCTGCAGTGCAGTGGAATGATCTTGGCTCACCACAACCTCCGCCCTCTGGATTCAAACAATTCTCGTGCCTCAGCCATAGCTGGGACTACAGGCACACGCCACCACGCCTGGCTAATTTTTGTATTTTTTGTAGAGACAGGGTTTTACCATGTTGGCCAGGCTGGTCTCGAACTCCTGGCCTCAAGTGATCTGCCCGCCTCGGCCTCCCAAAGTGCTGGGATTACAGGCGTGAGCCACTGTGCCTGGCCAGGAATGTTTCTTTAAAACACAAAACAATCGCTAGTGACACAAACAAGTCCCCACAAACTGTGAATTGTAGAACAGATGATTGGTGATGCAAAAGCTCAGTTTGGGGGCTGAAAATTGTCCTTCTCAAATGGGAGTCTTGGTGGAGATTTTCTAAGCTGTGTGTTCCCCTTGCTGGGAAACAGGGGTGCTCAGGGCAGGTGGAGGATCGGAGAGCCCCTGCCTTCCTGAGGCTGATCTGAGTTAGGCTGAACTCCCCACAGCCAGATCTGAACTGAGGAGACTAACATCCCCTCTGGGCCAACCTGGAGAGCAGGCAGGGTCCTGCATGTGCTGAATCCTGTTTATTTGGGTCTAGCGCTGGAAGATGCTTGTAATGGTAGCCGATAAAGAGAGATGCCATCCCTTGTGTCCACAGGTATCGAGTGAACTTCAGACCTAGGTATGTCACTAGGTATAAGACAGTGACGCAGTTGGAATGGAGGTGCTGTCCTGGCTTTAGAGGGGGAGATTGCCAAGAAGGTCCCAAAGAGCCCGTGAAGACCCTCCAACCCACGCCCGCTCGGCCTCGAAACAGCTTGAAGAAAGCCACAGGTAACTTCTTATTTGTGCTGTTACGTATGGCCACCTTTAATATTTCCGGTGCTCCTTCACACAACGGGATTTGTGCTTTACAGTGATGAACTTTGAGTGGCCTACAAATAACACACATAGATGCCTGCAGTAGCCACACGTGACAAATTTATTCGTAGAAGCAGTAGCAATTGTAAGACAAACTTCCTTGCAAGTGAATTGCTTTGCTAGGGCCAGCTTGTGAAAGCCAGTGCCTTAAAAATCAGGGTAGGAAATGCCAGTGGGTTCAGGCTTGTGTCGCCTGGAGGCACAGTGTAAAGAGATTCAGATGTAATGATGTACTGTTTGTTTTTACTGGAGTCCATACATCTGAGTTTAAGGGGGTTAAAATTGTTTTTTATTTTTTATTTTTATTTTTTGAGATGGAGTCTCGCTGTGTCACCCAGGCTGGAGTGCAGTGGCACAATCTCGGCTCACTGCAACCTCTGCCTACCTGGTTCAAGCAATTCTCCTGCCTCAGCCTCTAAGTAGCTGGGATTACAGGCGCCCGCCACCACACCCAGCTAATTTTTGTACTTTTGGTAGAGACGGGGTTTCGCCATGTTGGCCAGGTTGGTTTCAAACTCCTGACCTCAGGTGATCTGCCCATTTCGGCCTCCCAAAGTGCTGGGATTACAGGTGTGAGCCACCGTGCCTGGCTATCACTTCATCTTTTTAAGTTCAGTCACAATAAATGCAGCATAGTTTTCTTATGAAATTAGATGCTTAAATGATATTTTGCCATGAGGTGTTCTCAATTTTGAAACTTGTAGTGCTTCCCAACGTTGTCTGTAAAAATAGATTTTAAAATGCTTTAACTACAAAAGTAATGCATATCAATTAAAGAATGTTTATAAAATATAGGAAAAATATTTAAGGATACATAATCTCATGACTAAATGAGAACTACTATTGACATTTTGTTACAGAACCTTACTCTCTTTCCTATGTCTGTACATTCATTTTGTTAAAAATTCATTCACCTCACAAATATTTATTGAACTTCTATATCTGTCAAGCTCTATACTGGGTACTCGGAATAAGTGAGAAAAAAGGCAGACAGAGTCCCTGACTTCATAGAAGGCAGACATTAGACAGTAATTACAATAATTCATGACAGGTACTGGGATGGGGGAACATGTTATGGGGGCTGGTGGATTGTAATTGTTTATTTTTGTTTCATTTTAGTTTTTGTTTGACAGAAGTTTAAGCATATTGTAGTTTAATAAGCTGAACAGCTTTATAAGGATGAATAGGAAAAACAATGATCACCCTCAAACCCTTTTTCCTCATTTTCCCTTCTCAGAGGTAGTACTTTAAACTCTTCAGATGAATCTTTTGGAATTTACCTCCACATCTATTGATTTCTCATTATGGAAGGTGAGAATTTAACTCCCTTTCATCCACTCAACACATGGCTCCTATCCCCCCATCCCTTCCATACAGTTAGGCCGTATTCTTTATTTATTCAGTATTCAATGTTTACATTGTAATAACTATGTAGATAATGTTTATAGCTGAGCCATGTGGTGTACTGTGAATAGGTTTTCTTTCCTACACAGCTGTTTGAATCCTTACAGTTAATCATTGTCTTATGTTTTTCCTTTGCTTGGTTTTCTTTTTATTGCTATTTCAACCCAGCTCTTCTCTGGTTCTCTAAATGTCCCCTCCATATGTTCAGACACAGTAGTTTCATCTTCTTGAAGAAATCTCCTTTGAGCCTTCTCACTTGCCCTACCTGGAGGGGACATTCTCTTTTCCTGTAATCACCCAAGGATCTTAACTTACCCCTCTCCTACTGAATTCCCTGTTTCCTGTGTCACCTGCTCCCTCTTTCTTGGTTTATCCCCTTGCTTTGCTTGAGCATGTCCTTTAGTAGCTTCATGAGACAATTATATGGGAAGCAAACTTTCACCACTTTATAGTATGAAAACTATTTTTTATTCTAGCTTCAGAAATCTAGGTCAGAAATCAGTTTCCTTCAGAATTTTCAAAATAGTGCTCAGTTTTTCTCTGGCCTCCAATATTGCTGTTAAAAAAAGACCAAAACTCTTCTGACTCCCAGTTTTTTGTGTGTGACTTGAATAGGTTTTTTTGTCTCCCCCCTCCTTTTTTTATCCTTTTAGTGGGATTTTAGGAAGGAGTAAAAAGAAATGCTTATCCTCTGATATATATGTTTGAAAGTTTGTCCCCTCCAAATCTCATGTTGCAATGTGATCTTCACTGTGGGAGGTGGGGCATCATGGGAGGTGTTTGGGTCATGGAGGTTGATGCTTCATGAATGGCTTGATGCCCTCCTTGCAGTAATGAGTGAGTTCTTGCTCTGTTAGTACACATGAGAGCTGGTTGGTTGAAAGAGCCTGGCACCTTCTCCCTTCCCTCTTGCTCCCTGTCTTACCATGTGACACATTGGCCTCCTCTTCATCTTCCATCATGAGTAAAACTTCTTGAGGTCCTGACCCGAAGCAGATGCTTCTTGTACAGCCTGCAAAACTGTGAGCCAAATAAACCTCTTTTCTTCACAAATTACCCAGTCTCAGATATTCCTTTATTTCAACACAGAATGGACGAACATATCCTGAATTCTCTGTCATTATTAAAAAACATACTATTTTTGCAACTTTTTCTGTTTTTAGAGACAGGGTCTTGCTCTGTAACCCAGGCCGAGTGTGGTGGCATGATTATAGCTCACAACCTTGAACTCCTGGACTCAAGTGATCCTCCCACCTCAGTATCCCAAAATGCTGGGGTTACAGGCATGAACCACTGCACTTGACCTGGAACTTATTTTTTACTGAATAACCTATAATGGACAACCTTCCATGTCATGAAATATTCTACAATACCACTTAATGGCTTGAGAGAATGTGAGTTATTGAACAACATCCTCTACTGTTGGTCACTTAGGTTGTTTGTAATTTTTCACTATTATAGATAATGTATGAATATGCATCTTTTCCTATGAAATTTTTGTACTCATTTCTGACTATTTACTAGAATAAATTTCTTGAAGTGTAATTGTAGGGTCAAAAGATTCTGAGTATTTTGATATATATTGCCAAATTATCCTTTGAAAAAAATGCAATTTGCACAGTCACCAGTGGCATATGAGCAAAGCATTTCCTTATATCCTCAATCTTTTCCCCTTCGCTGCCCTTTGTTTTGTTTCCTTTGCTTAGAATAGCATTTCCACTTGCATATGATTCAATAACTTGTTTCTTTCTTTAGTGTCTTAAGAGAGAATAAATAGTAAGGAAAACAAGGTGTTCTTTTTAGTTCTCTGCAAAAAGAAAGATTCTTGGGAGTTTGGATATCTGAATTTCAGATTTGGTTTTACTACTAATGATTTTAATAAATAATAGCTACTACTATGAGCTTGTGCAAAAGTTCAGAGGAAGAAAAAACAATGATCATTGAATTCAAATATCTATAGCATTCTAAATGAATTTCCAATGTTTTCCAGTGTAATGTGTTAATGCATTTTATTTAATTGCAACCTATGTTGTGTTTGACTTTTTCTGCTTTATATGATATGTCTCACTATAGTTGCCAGGTTTGTCAGTGTTAACCTCTTTCAGTATTTCTTTTTTTTTTTTTGAGATGGAGTCTTGCTCTGTCGCCCAGGCTGGAGTGCAGTGGTCGGATCTCAGCTCACTGCAAGCTCCACCTCCCGGGTTCCCGCCATTCTCCTGCCTTGGCCTCCCAAGTAGCTGGGACTACAGGTGCCCGCCACCTTGCCCGGCTAGTTTTTTGTATTTTTTAGTAGAGACGGGGTTTCAAGGAGTTAGCCAGGATGGTCTTGATCTCCTGACCTCGTGTTCCGCCCGTCTCGGCCTCCCAAAGTGCTGGGATTACAGGCTTGAGCCACTGCGCCCGGCCAGTATTTCTTTTCTTTCTTTTTTTTTTTTTTGAGACAGGATCTCTCTGTTGCCCAGGCGGGAGTACAGCGGTGCTATCTCGGCTCACTGCAACCTCCACCTTCCTGGGTTCAAGCGATTTTTCTGCCTCAAGCTCTCTAGTAGCTGGGATTACAGGCACCCGCCACTACACCTGGCTGATTTTTGTATTTTTAGTAGAGATGGGGTTTCACATGTTGGCCAGGCTGGTCTTGAACTCCTATCCTCAAGCAATCCACCCGCCTCAGCCTCCCAAAATGCTGGGACTACAGGCATGAGCCGTCATGCGCGGGCGCAGTATTTCTTGTATCCTACTGTACTCAGGGCATAGTTTGTTTCTTATTGTCCTATTGCTGCAGGTTTCGATAGTCCCCTTTTTATTTATCTCTATGTCTATCAATTTATTTTTGTTTTATGACTCATCACTATCATTCGCCCCCTTATTATTAAAAATTAATAATTTTTTCTTTCTTTTGGATTGTTTCCTTGGTGTTTTCTCAAAATAAGATTACCCAAAATTCAGTGTTTGCATTCTTCTTTTTTTTCTTCTTTCTTCTTCTTTTTCTTCTTCTTTTTTTTTTTAAAAAAGATTCAGGGTCTTGCTATATTGCCCAGGATGCCCTTGAACTCCTGGGCTCATGCCAACCTCCTGCCTCCCTAGTAACTGAGACTACAGGCACACACCACCTCCCTGACCAACCTTCAATATTTGTATTCTTTGACTTAGTGAATCTTACTATATATGGTCAGATGGTGCTGTTGTTAGGAGACACTGATGGAATAGTTGCTTTATCTCTCTTGTTTTTTGTCTCCCAAAGTGCAAGCAGGGCTAAACAATGTCTATGAGACTCTTCGAGCACAGAGATGTTAATAAAATTAAAAGAGAAAACATTCAGGCACTGCTTTGAGGGTGAGGGTAGCATCAGATGATATGATATCATATGATATCACCATGCAACAGCTAATGAATGGGTGGATTTTGCTAAAGTGACTTCTTGTGGTTTTACTGTATATAGTCAACTCTTGGGGTGTGGCTGCGGTTCACTAATATGGGAATGAAGTGTTCATATGATAAAGCAGATAATGAATATTTCTCCTCAGGGTGAAAGAGACCATTGGTTATCTAATTGGAGCCATGTACATATTATTTTAACAGCTCTAGGAGGGATTGTACCCCTTCTTTATAGATGAGAGGATTATAGTTCACAGAAGTTAGTTAACTTGCTCAAGAACAAACAGTAAATAGCAGAGCCAGAATGCAAGTAGAGGTCTATTTGACTCCAAAGCCCTCTTTTCTACTGTACCACAGTAATTACCTACAATTGTGTAGTGACCTATAAGTGAAGGTGTACGTGTATTTTGTAGGCACCCTGTTTATTGTCTTGGCAGAATCTGGCTAAAGGTAGAAAGTATTCATTCATGTCCAACTTTATCTTTGTAACAGATAATGAACCCAGCCAAGTCTCAGAGCCCAAGAAGACTTTGTCCCCAACTGGTACAGCACAACCAAGCCGGGCGTTAGATCCAAAAGAGGGGCCCCAGGAACTTCAGGAAAAGAAGATACAGGTGCTAGAGGAGAAGGTTCTCCGACTCACAAGGACGGTTCTTGACCTCCAGTCTTCCCTTGCTGGAGTGAGTGAAAATCTCAAACATGCCACTCAGGATGATGCCAGTAAAACACGGACACCAGGGCTCAGCAGCCAGCACCCCAAGCCTGACACCACCATTAGTGGAGACACAGAAACGGCCCGGAGTCCTGGCGTCTTCAACACTAAGGAATCTGGCGTGAAGGACATCAAGTCTGAATTGGCTGAAGTCAAAGATACTCTAAAGAACAAAAGTGACAAGCTGGAAGAGCTGGATGGAAAAGTGAAGGGCTACGAAGGGCAGCTCAGACAGCTCCAGGAAGCAGCCCAGGGCCCGACGGTGACCATGACAACCAACGAGCTCTACCAAGCCTATGTGGACAGTAAGATCGACGCCCTGAGAGAGGAGCTCATGGAGGGCATGGACAGAAAGCTGGCTGACCTGAAAAACTCATGTGAGTACAAGCTCACTGGCCTCCAACAGCAGTGTGACGACTATGGGAGCAGCTACCTGGGAGTGATAGAGCTCATAGGGGAGAAGGAAACAAGCCTGAGAAAAGAAATAAATGACCTCCGAGCCCGGCTACAGAAGCCTTCAGCCCAGGCAAACTGCTGTGACAGTGAAAAGAATGGTGACATTGGTCAACAGATCAAGACGTTGGACCAGAAAATCGAGAGAGTTGCTGAAGCCACCAGAATGCTGAATGGAAGACTGGACAATGAGTTTGACCGCCTTATAGTTCCAGAGCCAGATGTGGATTTTGATGCAAAATGGAACGAACTTGATGCAAGGATCAACGTGACGGAGAAGAACGCTGAAGAACATTGCTTTTACATTGAGGAAACCCTTCGGGGGACCATTAATGGAGAGGTGGGTGATTTGAAGCAGCTTGTTGATCAGAAAATACAGTCTCTGGAAGACCGTCTGGGGGGTGTTCTCCTACACATGGCCAACAACACTGGTGCAGAGCTCAGGCCCCCAGGGGCAGCAGCCCTGCCAGGAGTGTCAGGGCCAGGAGATGAGCGGGTCATGATGGAATTAAACCACCTGAAGGACAAAGTTCAATTTGTTGAAGACATTTGCCTGCAGAACGTCCAGGGAAAGCCTCATGGGATGGAAGGTGCCTTGCCAAATAGGGAAGATCGCGCAGTGCGCGACAACCTGCACCTTTTGAAATCTCTCAACGACACCATGCACAGGAAGTTTCGAGAAACCGAACGAACCATTCAGAAACTTCAACAGGATTTTAGTTTTCTTTATTCTCAATTAAACCACACAGAAAATAATGTGGCTCATCTTCAGAAGGAAATGAGCAATTGTAGAGCAGGTGAAAATGCTGGCGTGGGTGGGTTCACTAAGGGGGGTGAGCAAGAAAGGACAGTGGACACCCTGCCGTCCCCCCAGCATCCCATGACTCATTGCTGCAGTCAGCTGGAGGAGAGGTGGCAGAGGTTGCAGAGCCAGCTCCTCTCGGAACTGGACACTTGTAAGGAAAGCATGCAGGGGGTCCAGAGGGAGGTCTCCACGGTGGAGGGCAGGGTGTCTCATATGGAGAAAACTTGCAGCAAGCTGGACTCTATCTCAGGAAATCTTCAGAGGATCAAGGAGGCGCTCAACAAGCATGTCAGCAGCCTGTGGAACTGCGTCAGGCAGATGAACGGAACACTCAGGTCGCATTCCAGAGACATTTCTGGCCTAAAGAATTCAGTCCAGCAGTTCTATAGCCACGTCTTCCAGATTTCTACTGATTTGCAAGATCTGGTCAGATTTCAACCATCAGCAAGTAAGTTGAATCTTACAATTCTATTTCTTGTATTTCTTTGCAGCACGCAACAACATTTTAAAAATAATTTTTTGTTCATTTTTGATTTTGTTGAAACTTCATCAGGTAAAAATGTGACAGTATTATGCTAGATTTTGGACAGTTCACGGAACGAACTAAATGCCATCAGTCCTACCCAAATGTGGTTCCTAGATTGGTGCCTGAATTATTTGGTGCTGGGTAGCAATGACATAAATATATTTTCTCAATGTTAGTATTTAGGAACTTCTAAAATAATTTGACAGGCCGGTCGCAGTGACTCAGGCCTGTAATCCCAGCACTCTGGGAGGCAAAGGAGAGTGGATCACCTGAGTTCAGGCATTTGAGATCAACCTGGCCAAAATGGTGAAAACCCGTCTCTACTAAAAATGCAAAAATTAGCTGGGTGTGGTGGCATGCGCCTGTAGTCCCAGCTAGTAGGGAGGCTGAGGTGGGAGAATTGCTTGAACCTGGGAGGCAGAGGTTAAGGTGAGCCGAGATTGCATCACTGCACTCCTGGAGCCTGGGCAACAGAGTGAGGTACCATCTCAAATAAATAAACTAACAACATTGCAGTGTTTAAGCACATGATCTATGTATTTTACAAAAATATCAGTTCACAACACATTGAAAATAAAAAAGGAAAACTGGTTCTTCCCACAGACGGATGGCAAAACATGATCTATAGAATCAGGTTGGTGAGCTCAGAGTTGGGGTCAGATTTTTGGCATAACAGCTTGGGGCAGTGGATGTTGTCCTCTCTTCTACCTAGGGAGTCTCCTACGTACCTCTCTTCAAGCATCACTTTTTATCTGTGTCATTATCATCTTCAGGGCTTAGCTGATGGCAGATAGGATGCTGTCGTATTTGTTTCCAGACACGACTGTGGATGAGAGCAGTTTAGGGGCAGGAACTATCTAAAGCTCCATAGTGCCTGGATCCAGGAAGCTCAGCAGTAGTGCTGAGAGCAATGCTAGCTACACCTTAGGCACTCAACAAATGTGTGTTGAATGAATGAATGAATGAATAATATATGCAATAAGATTTTTTGCTACCTGGGGGTGCTAAACGCAGCCTCCTTGAAGGACAGAACTTCTCTTGTACCTGGGTTTATACTCTGAGACAGCCTCAGACATGAGCCAGCCCTCTCTAGTTGGAGTCCGGGTGTGAAAGGAAGGAAGAGGGAGCTCGCGTTTTTGAGCACTTTCTATGTACAGCTCCGGCTTAGTCCCTTCAGGGGGACTGAATTCCATCACGGCCTCACAGAAAGGCTGTTTTCCAACAATGAAAATGTGCCCGAAGTCATGTGGCTGTTCAGTGGGGGAGCCAGGATGGGAACCAGGCCAGGCTACATCCAAGAATTATTTTCTTCCAGTCCGGCCATGATGACTGTGTGTCTCCCAGAGCTGAGTGCAGACTTACTTGGTCCACGGGGACTTGTTGAGGGGCCTGCTTTGTGCTAGAAGGAGCCTATTTCCTGACCTCCCTGTCCCTGTTTTCTTTTCTCCCTTCCTTGCCTTTGGGACTTTTACCTCCCTGACCTGGTTCCGCTCTGGGTGACACAGGCCCTTGCACAAGGAACTGAGATTTTATGGCCTCTGTGAGCCTTGGGATTTTATGATCAAGTCCCAGATGTGACATAAAACCCAAGGCAGGGCAGGCTAGAACATGGGAAGCAGGCAAGCTCTGGCTTGGCCAGGGAGAGCCACGGCCAGGTCCTGGCAGCTCAGGAGGGTGGAGAGGGTCCGAGGTAGGTAGGAAAATGCCCTGGATGTCCCCAGAGCACTGTGCTTATCTTGCAGATGAGGAGTCACCTAGGCCCAAGAGGACCAGGAATCTGGCCCCCACCCCAGTGTCCGGCCTGCTGTACCTCACTATTTATAACCCAGCCCTTCCCCCACTCCAGGGCCACACAGCTCCTCTATCTCTGGAATGTTGAGTAGAGGTCACAAGACCATGTATGTGTTCATAGAATGATTGTCCCTTGTGGTGACAACGCTGTCTGGTCTGTGTCTTACGATAACAGATTGAATCAGATATTTCCAGTTGATTTGGAACTCGCTGGTGGCGTGGGAAGCTGTGTTAACATTTTCACATTTGTCTGTTGCAGTAGGAGTTGGGGGTGAATCCTTTTAAAAGAGAATGTGGCTTACAAAACATGATCCCTTTGGACTGAACTCATTGTGGTGAGTGTAGACTGCATGGAGTTTTGAGAATTTCATTGATTGGAAAAGAGCCAGAAATAAACAAGCAGAGCCTCCTCTGCCCTTGTCTAGCATCCAGGTCTAGGAGACCTGGAACCTGAGTATCAGAGGGACCTGGGAGAATCTGGAGCTAAGGTCACCATGAAAGTGACATGTCAATCAGTTAAAAGTCAACAGAATGTTTATTGAGTGCCTACCATATGCAAGGCTCTTGGGGGACCTGGAGATAAGTAGGTATAATCCTTAGTCTAAAGCATTTGCAATCACAGTGGGCAAGAGACTCAGGTCTGCAGAGTGAATGAGATCATAGCGGTTGATCCCTTTAGTTCATAAGGTCTTATTGAGCCCCTATTATATGGTGGGTAATGGCTGTGTTGGGGAGTATGTGGATAAAAGACAGTCTGATGGGGAAACAAGCAGACAGATGGTCACAGGAATTGGGGTGTGCATGAGACACCTTGGGTGTTCTGAGAAGCACCCACAGTGGAAGTCAGGGAGGGATTCTCAGGACAGAGCCCTGAGCCGAGCCCTCAGTGTAGGTGTTTACCCAGCAGAGTACAGAGTCTGATGGGGTGAGGAATGAGGTGAGATGAGAGAAGCTTCCAGGAGGAGGTGTTACTGGATCTGATTGAGGGATGGGTGGGATTCAGAAAGCAGGAGGGGAGGACATTGTGGATTAGCTATTTATTGCTTTATAACAACCCATTCCAAATCTTGCTGGCTTAAAACAACAAAGATGTATTAGTTTCCATTATTCTGTAGGTCAGGAACCCCGGCAGGGCTTGGCTCAGCGGTTCTTCTGCTCTATGTGGCATCAACTTGAGTCGCCCACTCAGCTGCATTTGGCTTGCGGTTGACTGGAAGGTCTGTGAAGACTTGGTCATATGTCTGGTGCCTCGGTACTCCTCCACCTGGCCCCTCTCTCTCCATGTGGCCAGCCGGGGCTTCCTCACAGCATGGCGGTCTCAAGTAGTCAGACTATGGCGACTGTCAAGGGAAAGTGGAAGCTGCTGGGCCTCCCACAGGCTAGCCCAGAGCCGGAGCAGCATCACTGCTGCCACATTCTATTGTTAAAGCAGGTCTGCTCTTGAAGGGTGATGTGGCTGGTATGTTTGGGGAAGGAAGGGGGATTAATGGTGGTCACGATATCTACCACAGTGAGCACAGGTGCAGAGGTGAAGATGTGTGACAGTTTTGGACCAGTAAGCAGATCGCCAGACCAGGAACACACACTGTGGTGTTTCTACTTAGCCTGTTGCCCTCTTCACAGATCCTGTTTCCTTTGGAAGCATCACTGAGGTGAGGCTGAATTATCCAAGAAGCAGCCAATAGGGGAGAAGAAGGGTCTTCAACTGATGCTTAAATAGATCCAAGTCTCTTTCGTGTCCTTCTGTTAAGGGCAGGTGTTCTTCCTTGGGCTTAAAAGGGATTCCTGAAATTATATGCACACACATATATATATAGACAGCATATATATAGTATATATATTGCATATAATATATAATATATATTTTATATATATAAAAAAACTTTTTTTTGAGATGGAGTCTCCCTCTGTTGCTGGGGCTGGAGTGCAGTGGTGCGATCTTGGCTCACTGCAATGTTCACCTCCCGGGTTCAAGCGATTCTCCTGCTGTAGCCTCCCAAGTAGCTGGGATTACAGGTGTGTGCCACCACATCCAGCTAATTTTTGTATTTTTAGTAGAGACAAGGTTTCACCATGTTGGTCAGGCTGGTCTCGAACTCCCGACCTCAGGTGATCCACCCACCTCAGCCTCCCAAAGCGCTGGAATTACAAACATAAGCCATTGTGCGTAGCCAGATATATATATTTGAGGCAGGATCTTGCTCTGTCACCCAGGCTAGAGTACAGTGGTGCAATCACAGCTCACTGCAGCCTCAACCTTTCTAGGTTCAGGTGATCCTCCCACCTCAGCCACCCAGTAGCTAGTACTACTGGCACGTGCCATCATGCCCAGCTAATGTTTTTTTTTGTTTTTTTTTTTTTGAGATGGGTTTTCCCATGTTGCCCAGGCTCGTCTCATAACCCTTGGACTCAAGTGATTCGCCTGCCTCAGCCTGGGATTCAGGCATGTGCTGTAATTACGTGTGCTGGGAATTACAGGCATGAACCAGTGCGCCCAGACAATTTTTTTGGAGCAGGGGGTTGGGGGACAAAAGGTCCACACGTCTGGGCACAGTGGCTCAGGCCTGTAATCCCAGCACTTTGCGAGGCTCAGACGGGTGTATTGCTTGAGCCCAAGAGTTTGAGACCAGCCTGGGCAACACAGGGTGTCCCTGTCTCTACAAAAAACACAAAAAAATATATACTTTTGAGAAAACGGTCCAGGCAGAGGGAACAGCATTCTCAAGGGCTATGAGGAAGCTCTTTTGAAAAGCCCAGAATACTGGTATGGCCAAGTGTATAAGCAAAGCAGAAGGTCATGGGCAATGAGGTCAAAGCGACGGCAGGAATGAGATCACGTGGGCTTTCGAGGCTGTGACAAAGGAGCTGGATGTTAAGTGCCATGAGAAACTATTGAAGGATTTGGGGAGTGATTACTTCCATTGAAATCTCAGCTCATCCATGCTTATAAACAGTGGATGATTAACTAGTGTGCTGGACTTGGTAATCACTCAGGAAATATTACCTATTACTTAAACCTTGCATCCCCTAGAATGGATGTTTAATCTATTCATGACTGAACTTTTCTCCCTTTCTCTACCTATAAACCCCCAGGCCTCCAGCCTTAGAAGAGTGAGAGAGGGCCTGTAAACACAGCAGACACAGGGTGAGGGGCCCTGGTGGCTCCAGGGATGCTGTAGATGGCCAGCCACGGGTTTTTTTGTTTGTTTGTTTTTCTTGCTTTCCCTTTTTCTTCTTTTTAAAATTAGGGTTCAAATAGACAGTATAAAAAGCTTTAGAAATGGCTGGGCCAGTGGCTCATGCCTGTAATCCCAGCACTTTGGGAGGCCAAGGCAGGAAGGTCACTTGAGCACAGGAGTTCAAGACCAGCCTGGGCAACACAGTGAGATCCTGTCTGTAGAAATGACAAATTAGCTGGGTGTGGTGGTGTGCACCTGTGGTTCCACCTACTCAAGAGGCTGAGGCAGGAGGATCCCTTGAGCCCAGGAGTCTGAGGCTGCAGTGAGCTATGATCGCACCACTGCACTCTAGCCTGAGCAGCACAGCATAATCCTGTCTCTTAAAAATAAAAAAAAAGCGTGGAGATCTCCCTTTTCAGCATTCACAGCTTCATGTATCTCATGGATCAATAGTTTTGTTGAGCAGAATCTCATCACTTATGAACAAATTAGGTTCTAAATGGAAAGGAGGCTCGAGGCCCTTTACTCCCTATACGGTGTGGTCACGGATTTGAGCCCTCCTTCCCAGATGGACTCACTTCCATTTTCACAGGTGCGGGGAGCATCGAGCCTTCAGCCTGTCTCAGCAGGCACCCTCTTTAGTTCCTTTTCCCCAAGTTGTCCAGCGTTACCCCTACTCGAGTCTGAGTGACCCATGAGTGATTCACAGGGAGACAGCAGAGGCTGTCTCCATGCCTGGGACCCAGGATGCCCCAGCCTGCAGCCCAGTGGCAGCAGCATGTGCAGAATGGCGCAGCCCGCCCTCCCCAGCTGGTTTTAGCTTCCCCTGGCCCCACGCAGAGGCTGAGCCTCAGCTGAACCCCGCCCTCCCACTGTTCCTCTCCCAGTAGGGGAAGGAAGGGGTGCTGGTGGCGAGCAGGAAGGGTAGGCAGAGGGATAGAGCTGTGTGCAGGGGACTTCTCTTTCCAGATGTCACGCTTCCAAGAAGAGCCGGCCGACTTAGATGTCGGCACACTAGACATAAGAGCATCACTTCCTTTTTCTGTTCTCCCACCCCTTTCTGCTCATGTCTCTGAGTATTTTTCATCATAGCATTTCTTTTAGGAGTGCTGAAGGTTTCAGCCTACTATTTTTATGGAGTTATTTAAGTTATAAGAATGAAAAAGCACAGCCTTCTCAAATAACTAGTTAACCAGAAAGCCTGGCCAGGGCACTGCCTGATGCCAACATTCTGACCCCTTTGCCCCAACTCGAGATCAGCTGAGTTGGGGAGAGTTTAGGCCCAAGGCAGCATGATGGACTTAGGGTTTTATAAACATATAAAGGCTCAATAAATTGCTTATATTCAGGCCATAGGGAACTCCTGACAACTCGCCCCCTTTATCCTGTGGGCACCAGGTTTCTATGATGCTCTTCGGTTTGTATAAACTGCAGCTGCTTTTCTGCATCTTAGCCTTGAACTTAGAGCTGCAGTGTTCTGAGAACAGAGCTTTTCCAGAGCTGCGTGCATAAATGCCTCTGGGATCTTAAAAAACAAAAACAAAAACAAAAAAACAACAACAAAAAAGGAACTCCTGGGCTTACTCAGGAGATCGCTGTTCAGCAGGGATGAGGTGAGGCCCAGGAATTTGTAATTAAATTTGTGACTAAAACAAAAAACTGCTGGCTCTAGTCCTGGAAATTGAAGGCAGGCTACCCCAGAGGCAGTGGGATCTGCCCATCCCAGGTAAGCTGCGCCCAAAAACAAAGAGGAGGTAGCGGGGAGGGAGGACACAGAATGAACCACTGACTTTGACAGTGCACCAGGAGAAGTCAGTTTTGTGTGAGCCCACTTACAGACTCGATTCTGTTCCAGTTTTTGAGGTCTCTCCTGGTAGCTTATTTGTGTAGCTTTATAGTGAGTCTTAAAATCAAGCAGTATAGACCCTCCTATGCACTCCCATGTAAATTTTAGAATCAGCTTGTGAATTTCTTTCTCGCTATTTTTTTTTTTTTCCAGATGGAGTCTTGCTCTGTTGCCCAGGCTGGAGTGCAGTGGCACAATCTCGGCTCACTGCAACCTCTGCCTCCTGGGTTCAAGCAATTCTCCTGCCTCAACCTCCCGAATAGCTGGGATTACAGGCGCCTGCCACCATACCCCACTAATTTTGTATTTTTAGTAGAGACAGGGTTTCACCATGTTGACCAGGCTAGTTTCAAACTCCTGACCTCAGGTGATCCACCCACCTCAGCTTCCCAAAGTGCTGGCATTGCAGAAATGAGCCACCGCGCCTGGCCTAGCTTGTGAATTTCTAAAACAAATTTAAAAATTCCAAGTGCTGCTGATGCTCAGCTGGGTGAGTGCCTTCTCTGTTGGGGTTCCGTGATAGCAAATTACTTTCCAGCTCAAATGTATTGCCACGGATTCTAGCATACATGACTAAAGCTGTATTTATATTTCAACATTCACTAGTTTGTACTTTGCAGAAATTTAGACCCATATTCTGTATTTAGCCCTGTCCTACTGGTTTCACATTGTTAGGTCTGGATTCTTATCATTTTGGTGTCAATATGGTACCTTCTGCAGTGCAACCAACAGTGCTCCCTCTTGTAAGCTCAAGGGTTTTTTTTTTTTTTTTTCATTCAAACCAAATTCAAAAACAGCATTCATTTATTTATTTATTTACTTATTTATTTTTGAGATAGGGTCTTGCTCTGTTGCCCAGGCTGGAGTACAGTGGTATGATTATAGCCTTGAACTCCTGGGCTCATGCTATCCTCCTGCGTCAGTCTTCTGAATAGCCAGAACTGCAGGCACAAATTACCATGCCCAGGTAATTTTTAAAGTTTTTTTTTTTATCAAGACAGAGTCTGGCTATGTTGAAAGTGCTGGTCCTGAACTCCTGGCCTCAAGCAATCCTCCCACTGCAGCCTCCTAAAGTACTGGGATTGCAGGCATGAGCCACAGTGCCCAGCTCAAAAGCAGCATTGAGATGGCCATTGACTTGGAGTAGAACTATTCCAGGGAATGCACGTTTGCCTTCTCAGCTCCAGGGATCCTTTTGCATGCCTACTTGTCAGCCAGCTTGGTGGCCTGCCCTCCTGTCCTTCAGGGAAGACCAACACTGTTGCTTCGAAAAAGCCCGTTTGTCTAAGCTCACCCCGCACCCATTCGGCACCACAAGCCACAGTTTCTCTGAATTTTCTGATGAGTCCAGCATTTCTCATGCTTCAGTCCGTGATGGTATGGGGGTTATTTCCCAGGAACTAGAGCTTTGCCACTCAGCGGAGCAGTCAACTGTGAAAGCATCTTCCGTCCATCCACTTAGCTTTCTGTATGTCAGCACTTTGATGCTTTTTTTTTTTTTTAAAGTCTGAAGTCTTGATCAGCATCTTTAAAACACTTCAGCATTTGATCAGCAGGTATACCTTTTGGATGGCAGGGAGATCAGATTTCACCTTCACTGGACTTCTGATGAATTACACTTAACATTTGCACAGGGTTTTACAAATAGTGGGGCATTAGCGGGGCATACCCGCATCCATTGCTTCATCTGATTGGCATCAATTTCTGCCTGGATGACAGGAGGGCACTGCAGGTTAAGCCCGTTGCATGGACAAGGTTTCAGTGGCTTTCCCACAGCCAAGTCTCAGCCACAGGCTCTAACAGCTAAGGCCAGGCTTTCTCCAACAGCCTCTGCTCTGTGACAAGACACCCCTTAGTTGCCAAGAACAGGGCCAACCCTTTCCCCAGGTCTCCTCCTGCAGCCCAGCTGCTCAGGGCTCTTGCAGAAAGCAGGGCTTCCTGGAGACAGGAGGCAACCCCTGACTCCTTAATGAGCGAGGGTGTTAGTTCAGGGGGAAGACACTTGTTTTTTAGCACATCAGCCCATGAATTATTGGGGATTTTCTTAGGAAAGTCTTTGTTTTAGTAAAAGTTGAAATTGATGTTTGGTTTTGAAATTGACTTTCAATAGGAGCTTTCGAGGAGAGGGAATGGCCTTCAATCCCTACAGGTCAGGTTCACCCATGGTGAGGCTGTGACCCTATGCGACCCGTGCGGGGTGTCAGGCAGGCCTGGTGTGGTTGGTCTGTCCCTATCATTCCTCAGGAGTTAAAACACATGAGGAGCAACCCTTGGCTCTTATGAAGAATTCATTTCAAATGGTCCGTTCTTGAATTAGAAACACATGTTCAGTTCAGAAAGCAGTCGGCTGCTAGAGAGGTCTCTTTCCAGAATGAGCAGAGTGCTATCCAGCCTTTGTTAAGACTTGGTCATAAATGTGTGCGTTCGGCACCCCACGTGATGCTGTGGACTGAGCCGGAGCTGGGAGAGGCCAGGGCTGGGGGCACCCATCCGAATGAGACGTCGCTTTTTCATGTCTGTCTCTGCTGTGATGTGGCGGGCTGCTTTGGAGCCTTCAGCTGTCCACGGCACTCATGCACAGACTCCCCAGGGAGACCCACTGAGGATATTTGGCTCAAGCAGTATCTAGTTCATTCTTTTTCCTCTGCCTTCCACTAGTGCAACAAGTCTGGGTGTTGAGGGAGTAATGGATATGTTAAAATGGATTATAGTAAAAGACACAATGATCACTGTCCTATATGTATCAGAACTGCCTTGTTAGGACCCCAGAGTGGCAATTATTTTTGGCAAAATTAGGGTTCCCAAATTTAATGGCTGGCAGGAATTAGGGTGCATAGCCCACAGTGCCTGTCATAGATAGGTTCAGCCTTCTTTTATTCACCCAATACTAAAATTGTTCAGTGCCAGTTACCAGGCCTTGTGCAAGGCCCCGGGGATGGCAGAGAATTAAGATGCTCAAGTACTCATCAGTCAGCCAGAGGGGAAAGGTCTGAACCACAGAAAGAGCCCCCAAAGGTCCATGTTGCTTCCTGGTGCAGAGGCAGGACTGTTCAAGCCTGCTGGACCAATCCAAGAAGGCTTCGTGGAAGAGGTGGTTTTGAACTGGGACTTCAGGAGTGGGTGCTGTTGTGAGGGTGCTTCCAGTGAGGGTGCTGGAAGAGGCCATTTCAGGGGTGCACATGGCAAAGGCACGAAGCCAGGGAAGTCACATGAGAGCTGGGTACCAGTGAGCATACTGATGGCAGCCAAAGGAGGCGGGGGCTCAGAATGTCAGGCCGAGGACAGTCAGTCTGATTTTTACGAGAAGTGGAGAACGATGGAAGATTTTTGAGCAGAAAATAATATGATGAGAATGCTTTCTAAAGAGCATTCTGGAAAAGGTGTGAATGAAGGATCCAAGTGATATTTCAAAATTAGAATCAGCTGGGTCTAGCAACAAATTTGTGTGTGAAAGATTGGGAGGGGGTGACCAAAGGATAAGGAAGAGTAAAATAGGACTCCGTGTGCCTGGATGAGGGAGAACAAGGGCGGATTTCAGAGGCAAAGGGTGATTTGAAGGGTTGGTGGGGACAAGGAAGAAAATAAGGGCCAGTTTGGGTGGCCTGTGCTTTGCCATTTTAAGATGCTTTGCTGACTGTAACTTTTTGATGGTTGAAGGACAGAGGAAAATTGTTTCCCCCTGAGTTTTGAATGGAGAGACATATGCTTGGGCTGAAAGGAAGAAACTACTGGGGGAGGAAGGAAAGAGAGGTTGAGAAGAGAGAGGAGTGATGTCAGATGGAGCCGATCCAAGAAGAGCAGGGAAGGGTGGGTGGGGCTCAGGCAGAGGCGTGTGCCCTGGAGGCAGGCCAGCTTCTGAGCTGGGGAGACAGTGTCCAGAGAGGAGGAGGAAAGAAAAGGAAGATGAGGAGTTGACTCAAGTGTGCTTGGATTTGAGGGGAAAGGTCAGAAACAGGCCCTCAGTGTCTTCTACAATTATATTTTATAAAAATAAGTAAAATAACACTGAGAAGCTCATAATGAAAACCAGCTCCCCTGCCCCCTTCCCCATCCTTCTTCCCACGCCCCAGAGGCAGCCACATGTAACTCTTCCAGCTGTTTCTTTTCTTTGGTACTTACCTCTGTATTTCTAAATTGATTTATCAGCTTTTGACATTGCATATTGACTCCCCTTCCTCCCAATTCCCAACAGAGTTATCCTACAGTCAATATGCAACGTCTACGCTATGCTGAGCTCAATAGCTCTCTAAGATTGTGTTACTTTCCTTTTTTACTTTTCTCCTACGTGTTGCTTGTACCCTATGTGTCTATTTTGGAGTCTTCCTACCCTTGAACAGCCTCTTAATACGATTTCCTATATCATAAAAAGTATCAGATCATTTGTCAGTTCCAGTTTTTAAAAAATTGACCTCCTTCCTGGAATTCTTGTTCTTTCTGATCTAACCCGGACTGGTTATTCTCTAGACTTTTGCAATAAGGCTTTCAATCTGAGCCTGCCTTCACTACTATCCTAGAAATGTCTTTAACCTCTCTCCGCTTTCTTTACTCTGTTGCTTTTTCATTTTACTCCCTTGTTTCAGTAGTGCACATTTCCCAATACCTTTTTAAGAAAGGGTGCTTGAGAGATAGCATTTAAAAATTTTTAAAGTATTGCCTGTCTAAAAATATCTTTATTCTTCTCTTGAAATTGATGGGTATTTTTGCTGGGTATAGAATTCAAGGTTGACCATTATATTCTATCAATATTTGACATTGTTCCCTTCTCTTCTAGTTTCCAATACTGTTGAGAAGCCTGGTGATGCCTTCCTGATTTGCAATTTTTATATTTTTTTCCCTTGAAGTTTATAATAACTCCTTTTTATCTTCACTGTTCTGAATGTGGCTTGGTTTATTCCTTTTATTCAATAATTGTGCTGGGATCTTTCATTTCTTTCAGTTCTGGGAAGTTGTGTGTTTATTTGATAATTCTCTCCTTACCACTCCATTACCCCTACATACCAGTTTTTCTGATCTCTCTCTTTCTGGAAGGACTTCCTAGGTTGACCCTTTAATTTTCTTATGATTTCCTTCCTATTGTTCATCATTTTGTCATCATCTTCTATCTTCTGAAAGATTTCCTTGATTTTTGTCTACCAGCCCCTTTCATTGAAATCTGATTTTGGCAAGTGCCTTTTTAATCAGCAAGGGCTCACCCTTATTCTCTGACTATCCCTATTGTATAGCAAACAATTCTGGCATCTTGGATGCAGTGTCTGCTGCTTCTCTGAGGGTAGTATGTGTTTATTTCCTTGCACTGTGTCTGTCTCTTTAGAGTTCCTTTTCATTAGTCGGTGTGGCTTGCTTTGGTCCCTGTCGTTCACACTGGCGGCTTTCCTCCTACGTCAGGTGATTTTGACTTTGGTTCACATTTAATGGGGAGACACTAGATAGAGTTTCATGACTGTGGGCATCATTATAGGGTCAATTTGGAGAATCCTTCTATCTCCAGCTAGAGGTATAAGCAAGTGGCTGGGAGCTTAACAGAGGATGGGGACTGTGAGCCTCCTTATCAGGGAGCAGACTTTCACTTCGTGTTTTTAGACTGGTGTCTTACTCCTGTCTTCCACTGTAGCTGGTATCTCCATGGTTTTCAATCCCCCTGCCTCAGTTTCTCTAACCCAGCCTTTTTCAACCAGGGTTCCAAAGAGATGTAAACCCTGATGCCATTCTATTGTACGGAATGAACTAACTTCTCTGTATCTAGAATGGAATTAGCTCTGTATCATCCTGAGGGAAAATAGAGAAAGTAATCACCCAAATTGTTTTCTCTTGGGCTTCTCTGATGGAACATTGGTTAGGAAAGGCTGTTGGAGAAACCACCTCTCTCAGGGTGTTCTGGCAAACCTGCCTTTGTGGGTGGAGGGGGGGGCATGTATTTGATCTGCCATATTTATCTTAGTTTTATTTTTAAAATTTTGAGTTATGTGTACAGAGTAGATGTATATATGTATGGGGTATATGAGGTATTTTGATACAGGCATGCAGTGTGTAATAATCAGGGTAATGGGATATCTATTACCCCAAGCATTTATCATTTCTTTACAAACATTCCAATTCTACTCTTTTATTTAAAAATGTGCAAAAGATAATTGCTGACTGCAGTCACCCTGTTGTGCTATCAAATACTAGATCTTATTAATTCTGTCTAACTATATTTGAACCCATTAACCACCTCCACTGCCCTTCTCCCCAGCTTAGTGAGGCTGGAGTGCAGTGGTGCTATCTCGGCTCACTGCAACCTCCACCTTTTGGGTTCAAGTGATTCTCCTGCCTCACCCTCCCGAGTAGCTGGGATTGCAGGTGTGCTCCACTACACCAGGTTAATTTTTTTTTTTTTTTGTATATTTGGAAGAGATGAGGTTTCGCCATCTTGGTCAGGCTGGTCTCAAATTTGGGGGCTCAAGTGATCCCCCCGCCTCGGCCTCCCGAAGTGCTGGGATTACAGGCTGAGCCACCGCGCCCAGCCCGCTTAGTGAGTTTTAAAACAAAACTGGACAGCAGGTCAAGATGCAGTCACTGATTTTTGTTGGGTCCTAATCGCTGGGCTTTGGAGCTCTGGGCGTTGTGGGCACCAGACTGATGGGGGCGGGGGGATGGCGTTGCTTTGCCAGCGGTTCCTCAGCCAGACCCGGGTATTTTTAGGCGTCCTGTGGCCGGTCGGGAGGGGCTTCCTGGAGGGCTAGTTCCAGGAACGAATTCAAAGGAGGAAAGGGCGGCAGCTTCCGGCCGCTTCCCAAGAGGGCTGGGAAATGCGAATCGGGAGGTTCCTCCGTTGGAAGTCCCTTCGGCTGGCGACGTGGGCGCTGTGGCTGTGGCCCCCGTGGAGCCTGAGCCCTCTGCAGCCGGCGGGAGAGGCCGGGGACCCTGGGGGGAGCGTGGTTCAGACACTGAGGGGGTCGGTGGCATCAGGTCCCTTTCAGACCTTTGCGATGCTCCCATGGTGTCCGCGCGCTGTGAAACCGGGAATTGTTGGGTGCCGGAGCCAAACCGGTTTGGAGAGTGCAGCCGTCTACGCAGGAGAGGCTGGAAAACCCCCAGCCCTGGGCAGGGGTCCCTGGCGGCTCCCGGGTGACCCACGGCGCCCTCGAAGATGCAGGCGGACGCCCGCGTGTCCTGCTAGCGTGATGTCGCGGGGGTGGCCACGGAGTCCTCACGGGGACCCCACTCGCCGGGGCTCATGGAGGGGACCCCGACGGGGCGTTCAGGGCTGAGGTTTCCTAATCCCGTGTGTTTTCTTCTTTTCCCCGACGCCCAGCGGAGGAGCCCTCGGAGGCGCCCTCGCCCCCGCCACCCGCAGAGACC